TCTCTCTCTCTCTCTCTCTCTCTCTCTCTAACTCATCCATCATCCATCTCCTTCTATCTGTCTATCATTCTATACCATTCATATAAGATACGTCAGATATCCAGACAAAACTTCGTTGTCCCCTATCCCCCCCCCCACCCACCTACCCATCAGTATTATCCCGGCTCTCCCACCTCACCATGACTCCCTTCCCATGACTCCCTTCCCATGACTCCCTTCCCATGACTCCCTTCCCTAAGAACTCAAGCATCCAACCCATCTAACTCAACCAACCTCGTTACCAACCGAATCACCTCCCCCTCACTGCCCCCATTCCCCCCAAAATTCTCAACTTTCCTCTCAATCAACCGATCAATCACCCCCCTGAGCCTCGACACCAATACGCCAATCCTGGCCCATCCTCTCAGCCTTATCCATCCGTCCACAATTAACCCTCTTCCCTGCGTGTCTAGCTCAATGGAGCCGGCAAACAGCAGGAGGGTATACGCATTAAACGCTATTGCTCAACCCGTTAGCACAAACACGCAACCACAAAAGGGGTTTGGGGAAGGGGAAACTCACGTGTTAACTCCCTAACAAAAATCTTACTCGTCCTCACCATCGTAAAATAACTCAAGAACTGGGCGCCCGGCCCCGCGAAACCCTGTGCATCGAACAGCACACTGCTTGGATGTACAAACACGCGCCCAACATCCTTAGCAAAGTACTTGATCGTACGCGCTTCGGGGTCCAGCTCTACTGCTCCCGAGACAGAGGTTGCAAATTTCTTGTCCGGAAACGAGATACGCAAAATCTGCGGGGTAAAGGCAGATGCGGTGAGGGCTCTTAACAGGCCGGGGGATGATGTTGACGACTGGGTAGAAGAAGAAGAAGAAGACAAAGGGGAGGAGGGGGGAACGCTGGAGGAAACGAGCCCCATTTCCCGGAGAACTTCATAAAACTGCGCCCTCGTAGCAGCAATATCGCTCAGCGTAGCCCAGCTCAAAAAGTTCTCCTCACACCACTGCCTAACCTTCCTCGGCGGCGTGCCCCCCGCCATCATAGCTTCCCATTCCTGGTAAGCCCTCAAATCCGTCATCAAATCTCCATCTGACGCCGTCGTCCCGCCCCGTGTAAACCTTCCCCTGGCCGCCTTCGCCTCCTCCCTCTTCTCTACGGGCGCAAGGAAAGGCGACTTCGTGCTCAGTATAGCCGCTATACAAACACACTCATCCAAGCACCCAAATATCGCTCCATACACCATCAGCTTGGCACACCTCAGATCAGCGGGTATCAGCGCCAACTGCTGCCCGAGCGCAGTCAACTCCTCTCCATCCAGCGCTCCCATCCTCTGTAGCATGGTTACCGCCCCCTCGACGGCACTATCCTCCGGAGGAGTCGGCGCACGCGCTAGGAACCCCCTCACATCGCGTATCCCCATCGCGCGCACGGCAAGGCAGATCTGCTCCAGCGGGACGCGGCGGATCTCCGGGTCGGGGCGCTCGCGCATCTTTGCTTCGGCATCCCGCGTGTAGAGCTTGTAGCACCACCCGGCCTGCACACGCCCCGCGCGACCACGCCGCTGTTTACACGCCGCGCGGGAAGCCCACGTCTCTTCGAGACGACGCATCCCGCTGACGGGGTCGAAGGAGGTCTCCTTGACGCGACCGGAGTCGATGACCGCTACTATATCATCGATCGTGATTGAGGTCTCGGCGACGTTGGTAGAGACAATGACTTTACGTTTTCCCGGGGGAGGGGGTAAAAACACGCGGCGCTGGTCGCGGGTGTCGAGGGAGGCGTGAAGGGGGAGGACGTGGAGAGATGGGAGGGGGCGGAGGGTGTTGACTGCGCGGGTGATCTCTGCGACGCCGGGGAGGAAGATAAGGATGCCTCCGGCAGAGTTCCGGGATGTTAAGTCAGAGTCGATGGTCCTGACGACTTCGACGAGCAGGTCGTAGTTGATGCGGGCGCCGAGTTTTTGGATGGTTTTGTTGACAGGGTCTGGTTCCGACGGAGGAGTAGAGGAGCCGTCATCGTCGTAGTAGTAGTCGTGGTTCCGGTTGGAGATAGAGAAGCCGGTCATGCGGATGACGTCGTCGAGGTAGTAGTCTTGCACGGGGTACGTGCGGCCGGCGATCTCGACCATGCCGACGGTGATGTCACTGCTGTCGGCAGTGAAGTAGTCGCGGAAGGAGGCCGCGTCGAGGGTGGCGCTCATGAGGATCAGCTTGAGGTCTTTTCGCTTGCGTAGCACGTCGCGGATGATGCTCAGCAGGAAGTCGGTGTCTAAACTGCGTTCGTGGACCTCGTCGACTATGATATGGCTCACGTTGGCCAGCGAGGCGACCACATCCTCGACTCTGCCTCCGGAAGTCTGCAGCCTGCGAAGCAGAACACCCGTCGTGACGAAGGTGATCTTCGTATCCGGACTCGTCTTGGTCTCCCCACGAATAGAGTAGCCCACCTCCTGGCCAACCTGCGAGCATCTCTCCTCGGCCACACGGTCGGCCAGACCCAGGGCTGAGATCCTCCTCGGCTGGGTGACAATGATATTGGCTCCTTTGCCCAGCCCCTTATTGTAGAGATCGTCCAGGATAAACTGCACCGACTGCGTCGACTTACCAGAACCCGTCTCACCCGAGATGATGGTAACCTGATTTTCCGTAACAGCCTTGACAACCTCCGCCTGGACCTGCCACGCCGGCAGTCTCTCCCTGGCCGCAAGCATCTTCTTATACGCCGGCGTCTCCACGCGCGCAAGCCATTCCGCTCTGCTCTGGGGGTCAGGCGTCCAGTTAATCGGCCTGGGGAACCTTGGCCTTCTCTTAGCCGCCTTCTTCGCCGTCGATGCGGGCTCCTCTGCCGCCGCAGACGACACAGCCGCGACGTCCCTCAACCTCCCCGGACGCGAGATGACCTCGTTGATATTCTCCTGTATCCAGGTGACCAGGAAATAGATCTTCATCTCCTCCCCGCGAAGCGACTCGCTCGCATAAGCAAGCGCCTTCTTGATGATGCTTAGCTTGATGTACGCCGGGAGCGGCGCTGCAATAGAGAGGATGACCTGCGCCGGGTACTGCGGCGACCGCCGGAACTGGAGGTAAGTCTCAACATTGCTCTGGTTACCGTTCGTCACGCCGTCAATACGGATCTGGCAGACCGCAGGCGACAGCCGCTTGTACTGATCCCCGAAGCTGGCTTCCAGCGTAGCCATCTCCTCTTCCCAGCGCTCCTCAGGCGTGCCCCATCCCTCCTCATCCTGGACTCGGTCCTCTTGCTGAACCCGTCCCTCCTCACCACCACTCGACAACAACAGCCTCTGCAGCGCCTCAGCCGCCTTGCCCTCATCCCCTCCATTCGCATCCAACATCTTCCGACACAAATCCGCCGAATACCCGGACTGTGCCAGCCTCTTGATCATCCCTTCCTTCTTGAGGTCAGTCGTCGCAACCGTCACGCCAGCAGTATAATTTTCCGGCAACGCCCACCGCGGCAGATCATCCTCGGGAATATGTACCAGCAACCACTCCAGCGTCTCCTCCCTGTCTTTGCACTCCTCAACCGCCTCTTCCACGTGACTCTGCCTAAACCCGAGCGCGGCGAACTCCTCCACGATCGCCCTCTTTTGTGTGTCCGGCATGATAACGCCATGCGGGTTCCACACCGCTTCTCGTCTCAACAGATCCTCCAGCTGTTGCCTTGTTCGATTGCCCATTTCAATTTTCGGCACATTCGCCCACTCCCTCGCCCCCCTCCCCGAGCTCCCCTCCCTCACGGGTAGGACAACCCCCGCCGCCTTTTCAGCAGCTGCTTTTTCCTTAGCAGCCCTCTCCGCCTCCCTTTTCTTCTCCTCAGCAGCTTTGATAGCCTCCTGTTCCCTCCAAGCAGCAAACGGATCCCCCTCATACAGCCATCCCCTCCCCTGCTTCACATCCTGACTCTTGATCCCCTCCAACTCCTTCCACAGCGCTCTATAATCCGGGGGCAGCATCATATGCAAACTCTTCATACTACACACCCGAAAGAGCGCATACGTAGCCGCCGCGTGCTTGGCCTCGATCGCGGTGGGCTTCGCCACCAGATGGGCGTGCGAGGGGGGGAGCTTGAAAGGGGGCAGCTTGGTCACCTCGCCGGTTTTGGGGTTTTTCGAGGAGAGGGAGATGAAGACTGTGAAAGAGCCATCTTTGAGCTTGTGAGTGGTGTATTCCGGGGTCTCCCCATCTTTGGCGCTGGCAGTGCTCGTTCAGCAGATTGACAGGGAGTTTTCCAGTCCAGGAGGCGCCACCGATGAGTTGGCGGACTGTTGGGCGGGGAGGGCCGTCTGGCTCTCCGGTGTTTCCGGGTTTGTTGCCGTTGTTGTTGCTGTTGGAGGGGTTGCCGGGCTTGTTGTTGGTGTTTCCCTGGGATGAAGATGAACCCCCCTTCTTCCCCTTTGGATTCTTGTCGTTGGTGAAGATGATAAAGTCACCTTCACTTGAGCCTCCCCCCTGATTATTCTTGTTGTTGTTCTTGGCGTCCTTTTTGCTGCCGCCGCTACCGGACTTAGATGCCGCTGGGGCTGGAGGGGGCTGATTCTTGCCCTTTTTCGGAGGCATCGTGAGAAGTTGGTGATGTTTTTTTTTTCCCCCCCCCTCTGTACTTAAGGTTCCGTGTGTTTTATGATTTTCTGTTCAGTCGGTGAACCTTTGAACTTTCACCAGCTCACAGGTTCAACCCTTTAAATCACGGACTCGAAACGCAGATTCGCCACCAGCACAGTGCCCTTGGCCATGGCAGTCGAAGAACCGTTCACCGAGTTAAAAATATGGCGACAAAATCTCACCTTCTTCAGGCCGAAAAATGATGAGTGAGATGAGCAGGCGATGAATTCCAGCTGATGGCGCTTGCTAGAGCAAAAAAACTCATCCAGGCCGGGTCCAGACTTCGAATGAAAAGCTCTCCTGGCTCCTGCCGCCTTCATCCACATGGTCTTGGCATGCTCTGGTTAGTGCATATACTCGGTTAATATCATGTGAACTCAGTTACTGGACATTAGACCATTCGGACAGAGTTGTCGAGGGTGAGTAGTAAATGGTCGGTTAGGTGTATGGTTGGTTGGATGGGGCCCATTACAGCATGGAAGCACCAGCAGGTTTTCATGCAAAACTCAGGTAAATTCCAATCTTATTCCTCCTGTTCCTTTGTGAACCTACCTAGGCAAAAGAGCAGAACCTCAACACAACCCCTATCTCCTTGAAACCCAAACGACCTGGAAAACAACCAAACTTGAATTGCATTTTATTGCATTGCTTGCTAGGTAATATGTTGACCGAGCCTTCCAGATCCCCCAACTCCAGTCAAAGCTGCAAAACTTCTGTAACGTAATGTAATGTAACGTAGAGAGTAGAGAGTAAAAAAAAAAAAAAAAAAAGAAGGCAAAACCACAAAAACTAAGAGAAAGTATGATACCTTGATGTTCATATTACCCTCCACTCTTCAGTTCATTCCCATCGACGTGTCAAACCAGCAAAACCAAACGAAATGAAAATTCGGCCCGCTTCATGTTTTTCACTTCCTCCTCCAACGTCGTCCCCGATTCTCCTGGGGAGAACGTGCTCTGTAGAACGTCCAAACCTCTAACGTTCAATCTTCCAAACCAACCCCTCATCATGAGCCCGTAAATCAAGGCTATCCCCTAAAGTACTAAATCTCCTACTCAATCTCCCCTTCCCCATCCTCATCCTCCGGCTCCTTAGGCGGCACCAGCGGCACCAGCGGCACCAGCTCCTCCTCTTTCTCCGGTGCCGGTTCAGCAACAGGAACAGCTGGCCTATTCTTCGGCGGGCGCCCCCTCTTCCTCTTGACAGGCTGCTCACCCGCCGCTGTCGCAGCCGCAACTGTCCCCGCTGCAGGTGTAGTCGTAGCAGCAGTCTTATTGGCAGCAGCCACCGACGCCGCCTCATTTTTCCTCGGCCTGCCGCGCCCCCTCTTCACCGGTATCACACCTGGATTTCTCTCCCCCTCCCCCCTGTCGTTTCATTCCCTACCCCATTACCTCCAGCACTGTTGCGACCCCTCGTCTTCCTCGGGCTAGTCGGCGTCTGTACCTCCTCCCCTTCCGTGATGGCAGCAGCAGCAGCAGCAGCAGCAGCAGCAGTAGTAGTAGTAGTAAAGGCAGATTTAGGTGGCCTTCCCGGCCCAGGCTTACTCTTCTTAACGCCGCTGCCCTTGGGTCTGCCACGGGGACGGCCCGTAGGCTGGGGCTTGGGCTTGCGCTTGGAAGGGGAGAGGGGGGGACGTCCGCGCTTGCGTTTGGGGGGTTGGTCTGTGGTGGGGGGAGGAGTCGAGGGGGCTGCTGCAATGGGGACAGCTTGGTCGGACATGGTTGCGGTTTTTAGTGAGTGCTAAGTGGGAGTTATCTGGTTCGTAGTTGGTTGACTTCGAAGGCTGAGATTTTGGGTTGAGTAAGTGAGTGAGTGTTGGATAGATAACTTCAAGGCTGAGCGCTGGAATTCAGGCTTGGCGATGAGCGACAAGTGTGTTACAACGAAAACACACTCGTCATCCTCAATCGAACCGAGAAAATATTTTCCTCGATTTTTTTTTGGATGCTTGAATCGGTCACTGCTGAGAACGAAATGCCTCCAGTGAAAGCCAGTGATGATTTCAGGAGTTTGGAAAGAGTTTCTTCGCTCAACTCGGTTCGTGACGTGACGCGACCTTCGCGTGTGACGCGTCGGTGGGGCAAGCAGCAGCAAGGTAGGGTAAGGTATGGTAAAGCTGGATGGCAGCGAACCCTTCTCAACCTTGCTTGGCCGATGGAAGAGAGGGGGGGGGGGGAAACCGGAAGAAATAACCGGAAGAAAATAAGAGAAACAGACAAATTTCGTAGATTTTGTGCGGCCGGTTGCAGACGGTTTAATCTTCAAGAGTTTGTTGTGTGGACCTTGGAAATAAATTTCGGGAGAAAGAAGAAAGGAAAAAAAAAAGCTGGAATGTACGGAAAGAATTTGGGAAGTAAAAGAAGGGCCTGAGCAATGAAGCACGTACCACAGAGTCCGGGGACCAAGCAGTAGTGACAGCAACAGGGACCTTGGTTTGAATCCTATTGTCGCAGACTCCAGGAAGACACTGGCGCTGGCGAAAAACTCCCATGTTGCCTGATTTTTTGCCAGCAAATTTTCTGCATTAATTTAAAAAAAAAAAAAACATTCGACAGGCCCTACTGCGAACTTAACCCCCCCGCTTTTTTTCCCCGTTTGTTTGATTTTCTTTTCTTTCCTGAACTTTAGTTCTATTTCCAATCTATCCATTTTATTCTCCAACTTTAGACCAAATGTGACAGTGTATCATTGCAGCACCGCTGCCCCTGAGATCGTCTTGTGCTAACAGCTCGGCTAAATCGCTCTGTCCTGCTGCAGTATGTGCTGTGTGTCACTAGTGATGTGTGAGGCACTCACTTATATTAGGATAGGGGAGAAACATATCATGACTGCGTTATGTGTTAACAGAATGTTTCATACGAATCTTGTAGGCGTCTTGTTTCAAGTCCGCAAACATACCATGAATCATCTGCAAAATACGCCGTCAGTAAAGCCATGAGATACCAGATTTGCCACAAAAAAAAGGGGGGGGGGATAGAGTTGAGCCAACTCAAGGCACCATCAAAGTTTCGAGGGCAGGGAAAGAGGAAATCAAAAATTGAGCACAATAACAGACGAGACATCCAGACATGAGGCCCACAAAGTCGAAGATACCGATATCAAGAGAAGTATGAAAAACACCTTCAAAGTCACCTTTTACGCTCACCTTGAGTCTAATAGTTTTCTGTCTGCTGTGAGTGCAAGCAAAGGTCAACGTACAAACTCGACCAACTGCCTTCCCCAGTTATGATGCCAGACAAAGTATATCAAGTGTAGCCATGCGAATCCAAACTGTCAGACAAGTACTTTATTGATGACTGATTATTCTCTCTCTAGCCTTCCACAACACATCCCATATTTTATATATATATATATATATATATAATGATCCCCATTTCCCCAACCCAACCAAACCCCCAACCAACAAAAAGAAAACAACCCCTCCCACCTTACCCTCACTCTCACCTCTTCCTCTTCCTCGCGGCCTTCTCCCTCGCATACTCGTTGGCCGCCCTTCCCTCTTCGTTCTGAATCTCCGCAATAATGCGCTTGAACTTCTTCTCGTACGCCTCGTCCTTCTCCTTCTTGATGCGCAGCTGTTCTCTCCTGATAAACTGCGCATCTTTGCGCAGCTCGCGCAGCGCGCCCTTCCGCTCCCGCTTGTGCTCCGCCTTGAGCTTGGCCAGCTCGGCGCGCTCCCGGTTCGGGTCGTAGTGCTTGTCCGGGTCGAAGTCGTCTTCGAACTTGGGAATGTAGGTCTTGATGGCCAGGGGTCGGTGGTGGTGCAGTTCGAGGGGACGACGCGAGAGGCGAGAGAGTTGGAGCAGGCGGGAGAGGTGGGAGGCGAGGTCGTTCAATTTGGACGTTAGAGAGGATGGTAGATGAGAGGCATTAGGTTTGGTGAGGAGATGCTGGGCGACGGAGAGAGCGGGCTGGAAGGATTCGATGAACGCGGGGAGCTTGTGCCAGGTGTCGGCTGCGGACTTGAGGATGGCGGTTGCTGTGGAGAGGATGGCGATCTGCAGGGAGGAGGTCTCGGCTGGGGAGAGCTCGTCCTTGCGCAAGCAGTCGCCGCAGTTGAGCTGGCGGATGGGAGTGTTGGTGGCATCCTTGATGCGGATGCCCGCCGGCGGCTCGTGCACCGGGAAGTTGCCCAGCTTGGACTTGGCCCTCTCTGGGGCGAGAGCGCAGAGGGTGTTGAGAAGGAAGTTCATCATCTCGGGAACGTAGCGCTTCGCAAAGTCCTGGTATTGAAGAGCCAGGATGGACAGGTAGATGCCGACGGCGAAGTCAGAGAGCGCAGCAGGAACCTTTTGACCGAGATACCTGGCGATGGCCAGCATCGCCGGAGTGCAGACCTGATGGAAGTGGTCCGAGGTCGGGAAGGTCGTGCCGATGGCGGTCAGGATCACCAGGTCGCCGACAGTGGGCGCAAGCGGCCGATGCTCCTCCATCTCCTGGATGCGCATGCGGTACGCCTTGGCTACCTCAATCGGGAACGTCTTTGCCAGCGAGTGGACGTGGCGGCTCAGCTGCTCCAGAGTCGGGAACCAGTGCGGCTGGAAGCGGTCGCCCAGGTAGGCGATGTGGTGGATGAGGACCTGGGAGAAATTTCCTAGCCTCTCCTTGTTCTTCGCATCCAGCTTGGGGTGATGGAGGGCACGGATCCGCTGGACGACAGTCGGCAGCTTCGTGACCTCGATGCCCTTGACGACGTTGAGCATCTCCTCGTGAGACTGCGGACAAGGGAACGTATACGGTATCCCGTTCTCGTCGTCGCCTTGCTTCGGCTGCTGGAAGACAGCTTCTTGTTGCTCGGCTTCTGTCAAGATGCCCTTGATGAACTCATCGTCCTCTTCATCTTCCTTAGACTCTGAGCTCCCTTCCTCCTCATCGCTCTCCACATCCGAAAAATCCTCGCTGTCAAATTCCAATTCGGAACCGCTCGCCACAAGGTCGTCGTCGATCAGGAAGTCGTCTTCGTCGTCGAGACCCAGCTCGGTGGCTGTTGGCTTGTACTTGACGCCCTTACCGAGACCGAACTCATCCTCGGACTCCTCGGCATTAAGAGGATCAACAGCGTTGTCCTTCTTATCCTTCTTCCCCTTGTCCTCTTCACTCTCGCTCTCCTCATCATCCGAGACGGGCTCGCCACGCATGCGCTTCAGACGCTTCTCCTCCAGCTCCTGGAGTTTCTTAGCCGCTTCAGCCGCCTTCTCCTCTTCGGTCTTGACCGGTTCGGCCGGCTGCGCACGCTTGTCCATGGCGAGCTGCTTGAGCCGGATATCGTATTCTTTGTCGACGACCGTTTTCTCTTTGCCGGCGATGATGGGCACTGGGGCCTCCTTCTTCTCGGTCTCGGGCTTCTTGATCTGGTAGAGTAGCTGCTGGACCTCGGGGAGCTCTTGGTCGACCTCCATCCGGAGCTCGTTGTTTTCCTCCTTGATCGCTTGCCGTTCCTGCGCGTTGTCAGCAATGCAGACTAGATAAAAGCAGTCCATTTCCACATACAGCCTTGTACATCTTCGACTTGGCAATAATCTCCTCGTAGATCTCCTTCCTGGTCTTCTTCCGCTCCGGCTGCCCGGCCTCATCCTCCAGCCCCTCCATAGCCTCAGCAAGGCGCTGGCGCTTCAGCGCACGCCGCTCGGCCCGCGTAGTGTCGGACTCGTCGCCAGATGGCAGGTCGTCCTCGGAAAAGTCCTCTTTCGGCGCTTCGTCGTCGTCGAACAGTGGCTTGCCCATATGGGTCAGGCGAGCCTCGTCGTCGTCCTCCAGATCGAACATGCCCTTCTTCTTGTGGGCCCGCAGCGCCTCCTGGGTGTAGCGCTCGATCATCTTGTCCTCCACGGAAAGGTTCGGGTCGCCCTCGCCGAAACGCCGGTCAATGATGCCGCCGACCTTATTGCGCCGCTGCATCTCGACGAGGATAGTTTGGCGACGCTGAGTTGGTCAGCAATTGTTCACAGACCTTTGTCAAGCTCAAGAAGGACGCACCTTCTCTTCGCTCCTCGCCCGGGACAACTCCGGCCGGCCCTTAATGACCATGCCATTCTTATCGGTCGGCTTGTTGGTTGTGACCTCAAATTTTGGGCCCCTCGCGTTGGTCTTGAACTGGAAGGGATTGAATTGCTCGCGGATGCTCTTGAGAGCCTCGGCCTTCTGCAGACGCTTCTCCTGCGCCTTGGGGTCGTTGGCATTTTGGCGCTTCTGCTTCTTCGACTTTTGCGGACCAATGAGGCCCTGCTCGCGCAGCGAGGCCTTGAGCCTCTTGAGCTGTGATCCGGCCATGATTGTTGACGATTGGCCGTAGAAAGGTGCGAAATTGGGGAGATGGATGCAGGTCAGTGGTTACTCTCAATCTGTTGCGCAGCAGCAAGATTTTTGGGCTTCTGGGCGCTTTGCTTGCGCTTATCTTATCGCACGGCCCCACTGTGCTTGACCTCAAAATTTTAGCGGTGAGGATGGGCAGAAACTGCAGCGGGGGGTGGGGAAGGGAAGAGGGGGGGGGGAAGACCTTGGAGATTCTTGGCATTCGTCAGTCTTCCAGGGTCCTCGTTTGTGTCGTTCGCCATCCTGAACGCCCACGCTCGAGGGAAGTTAACAAAAACCCCCTAGATGCCTTGCTCAACCTCACCTGGGCCAGCCCGCATCACAGCATGTTTTGGCTAAAGAAGCTCATTCGTGATGAGCGCTTCCTCTTTGGCGCGCTGGCGATCAACGTCGTCACATGGGTCATCGCCTCTCGCTATCTCCTGAAGAAATGGCGCGACGAGGCTGAGATCAAGCCGCAGCAGCCCAAGACGCAGTACATCACGCAGGAGACGGAGGACGCCCTCAAGCTGAGTACGCTGGAGACACTGCTGGGACACTACAACTATGCGATCCGTGAGACGGCGGCCAAGATCGTGTGCGACAGGGCCGTAAACGATAAGGAGACGGTTGATATGCTACTTTGGGGCATCACGAGGCCGGATTATGACGAGCGGATAAAGAACCTGAGGGCGCTTGCGATTATTACGGATCAGCGTGAGTCTCCTCAGCAGTGTTACCGGGTCGCAGACGACTGACTTTCCCCAGAGAGCCTCGAACGTCTCCATTGCTTCAAAGCTTACTCCGCACTCGTCCGCTCTCTCGAGCTTTCCCTCGACCCCGAACAAGAAGTTCTCAACGACCCCAACTGGGACGACTACCCGCTGCGCGACATGACAGAGAAGCTCTGCCTCATGTTCATCTCCCAACTCATCAACTGCTACGACTGCGAAAAGCTCGTCAAAGCCAAGTTCGTCGAGAAGTGGCTCGCCAAACAGAACTGGGGTTCAACCCCCGAAGAACGCTTGAAAAATTTCAGCCAGTACAACGAAGTCCGTAACAACCGCATCACAGACATCGTCGCCGTTCTGAGGACCTCGCGCTCCGGGCGCGCGGCGCTCGAAAAGGCAGGTCTGTTGGAGCCCGTGCTGTCGCCGATAGACAGCGAGGTGGGGGATAACGAGGCGTACCGGCTCAGCGTGGTCATGTCGGGCAATTTTACGCTGAATAACCTGCAGGAGCACGCCAATGCGGTGATGCGGTCGCTGGAGGCGGCAGCGCGGACAGCGGAGGAGCAGAGGAGACATCGGCATCGCGAGGCCATGGTGTTGAATGATGGGAGCAGGCCGGTGAATAGCGATGATATTATCCAGCCGGAGCCTAGGTCGCCTTCGTGAGAGAGGCGAAACACGACTGTCAAGAAACTATAACCCTAAATGGAAGCATGCTCAGCTCACTCTGAGCTCAAACTGACGCCCCTGGGAACGTGGTCCACCAGTTGCCGCTCGACAAAACGGTACATTCTTGCCGAGGACGACTCGGTTATCAGACAGTTTCCTGCATTCATCAACACCGGCCAACAGGACGGAAAGCTCGACAACATCTGGTCTCAGGGGTATCGATGCTAGGTTCAACAGGTCGATGCCATAAAGATGTCGGATGGTTCATACGGATTAAACAACGAAGCTACGCTAAGAAGACTCTAGCCAAGTCGGCCCGGTAACTCCAAGGGAAAGCAGGCCGCGGATCAATATCTGCGTTCCGGTGTTTGTTATCTTCGGAGCGCTTCAACCCCAGAAGCGCTGCGCGATCTGCAAGTCTCGAGCAAAGTGTCGTTCCTTGAAGGGTTGAGGACCATAGGATGTAGCCCTAAAAAACATGTCCAGCTTCCATAGCAACAAGTGCGGATAGTTAGGGATGAAGGTCCCAAATCCCAATGCTGCAATGCATGAAGGACATGTTTCAGTCCCAAATCTATCAAGTTGTTACTGCACCTGCATATGAGTGTTTCTAAACAGGTTTGAGAACTCCTAGATACGCATTGTTTTGCTCACGTCGGCTTCTTGCGATATAAATAAAGGTGAACTTGAGAAAGGTTTCATCGGAAGCCACACAGCCGGTTCCAGGTTGGATAGCTTAGGAGCTCTGGCCATCCCAGGCTAAGGTATCCAGACGACAGCTGTCTCGATGGCAACCTACCAGTAGCTCTGAACGTTCGTTCTGATGCTTCTTCTCGAAGCGTTTGGCAAACACAACTCTTCTGTGTTGGACTAGATCTGTAAGACGCAGGGGCAATCGCGTCATGGTCAACGTTTCACGTGTTGAATGGGCCAGTTACCCTGCCGGCTTGTCGCCGCGACGATGCATTCGGCTGTCGTGCATCAGCCGAAGCCCGAAAGGAGCATTCCGCAGCAGCTGGGCCCGATAGCGGCGGCACGAGATTGGATGGCATCCTCCTACCAGTCAATGCCCACCGCTGTGGAAGTGTATGAAACCAACCGGTCTGTACCTACAGATGTGTATACTTGTAGTTAGAGATTGGACGAGAGCTCTGTGCGCACAAGCCCAGCGTTGAAACAGGATTTTAACTCAGCCGAAGGTGGCTGACCCCAGCTCGGGGACACAACGGCGGGGTTGGCGGTCTGTTGCTTGATACTGAAGATGCAAGGGGGAGCAGTTTTCCGCGGGGAAGAAATAAGAACGGGCCGGATGACCGCATGCTGTATGCCTGAGGGATTGGGCGTCTGTCGTCTGTTGTTGTGATGCCCTGTAGCCCGGTCTTCGTTTCTCCCTTCGATCTCTTGATGATGCCCAAGCAAAGAGAGTAGACACTTTCAAGAAGTCGCTCATTCATTTCGCTCAAACGCAAATATCGTCGCATGTTGACCTGACCCGGACCGCTCGTTCGATACCACTGCTCGTTACCACCTTATTTTTCGTCCTCGCTGGCCACCATCGACGTCTCCTCTTTTCTATCTTCCAAGAATTCGTTGCTGTCTCCAAGAAAACGAGACTCAAACTATCCCATCCCGCCCCTGCATTTCTACCTTATTGTTAGTCAGGCGCCTTATAGATCGAGCTTTAGCTTGCTGCCCGTCGACATCACCACCCCGCTTCGACCGACGAGACAGGCCACCAGCACACCACCGACACCAAAACAGCATCACGGGCTTTGTTCTCCTTGGCCCTACTAGCTGCATGAACCAGCGCCCGTTCCAGAGTCAGGGATCACCTTTTTTTGCTTTTCTTTTTTTTTCCTTTTTTTTCCTTTTTTTCCTTTTTTTTTTAGTGAGACAGCAAGCAAAGAAACAGCGCTGCTGGTTTATGCCGTGTTTCTGTCACCTACCTAGCGATCTGGCCGATCAGCGACAGCGACTGCCGGCTTTTGACAGCTCTTCGTTCCCACCGTTCCATCCCACTCTCTCACCGAGACGCTTTCGCTTTGCCCGCGGCATCTCGGCCAGTCATCGGGACGAGATTGACAAACGTGGCTGCCCAGTGGCTGCCCAGCGCGCGCCTGGCGAATTAACTGACGGCAGACCAGCGGCTCCGGATTGGTGGGGTTGAGAAGCCCCCCCGCCAGTGGATGCTGAGTGGAGAGCTAGGGTCCGAAGCGAGTTGGAACGCAAGCTGCCGCAGAACACAAACCCAGCAAAACCCGGAAGTCTAGGGGAACCCAGTGGGGTCCTGACCCTGGAGCGGGGCGTGTACACAGTGGGTAAACAAAAAGAGCAGGCGGTGTTTGGATGATTTGATCGAATTGATTGGCGGGTTGGAGAATCTTGGCCCAAAAGATGAGCTCCACAGCAACGGCCACGGCCTCAACCTCGACTTCCCTTACCTCGACCCTCCCGCTGCCTTCAGTGCCGCCGTCAACCGCAACATCAACATACGCCAGTACCACACGACACACATTATCGCGTCGCCCGGGACGCCGCGGCATCGTCACAGCGTCGACGCCAAACCTCAACCAGCTGTACACGGCACACGCAGCATCATCAGCAACGCCATCCACATTGATACGAGCAGCATCGCCCGCCTTATCCGTATACTCGGCGTTTCCCGCTCCCAGCAACGCCAACGCCAACGCCAGCTCTCTCAACACCACCACGTCGTCCTCACACGCTCCCTCGCACTCCTCGCGCCTGGCGCCGCCGGCGCTCTCGCGTAAGGGCTCCTACGCCGCCCTTACCCCCTCGACGCTGGCAGCCATCCCCGATGACTCGGACACGTACCCCATCAAGTCTGTGCTGACCAGCGACATGCCCACTCCCATCTCCCCGGCCGCTGGAGCTGGCGGCCGCTATTCCGCCGTCGGTGCTGGGGCGTCGGCCGCCGATGACCCCGTCACCATTGGCGACACTGTCGAGGTGCCCGGCAACATGTTGGGCACTGTCCGCTTTATCGGCCCTGTCACGGGCCGCAAGGGCATCTTTTGCGGTGTCGAGCTGCACCCCGAGTTTGCCTCGCGCGGCAAGAATAGCGGTGACGTTGATGGGTAAGCTGGAAACCGGTCTCTAGGGAGACTTCGGCATGCTGACGCGTACAGTGTCTACTACTTTACCACGGCACAGCCCGGCTCGGGCATCTTCCTGCCGCTGTCCAAGGCCATCAAGCGGGATCCACCGCCCGTCGCGCCCGCGACCTCATACCCCATCAGCCCAACAGGCGGTGGCTTGAAGGCATCCGGTATCGCTTCCAAGTTCAGCCAGTCCCTGGGGCCCGGCCGCTCGCAGAGCCCGATCGGCAAGAAAGTCCGTCCCTCAGGCGGCCTGCAACGCCCTGAATCACCCGTTCGCCGACTTACCTCGCCGGCCCCCTCGCGTCCCTCGATAACTACGGCCCCGAAGGCCACTCCGACGCCGTCCCGCTTCGGTAGCCCGACCTCGACCAGCAAGTTCAGCCAGAGCGTCCGCAGCTCGGCAGGAGATCCCAACAAGCGTGTTACCCCAAGTCATACACGCAAGGGAAGCATGAGCATCGGTCCGCGGAGCGCCTCAGTGCTGGGAACAGTATCACAGCCGAGTCTTACCGACGACGAGGGCACACCGCGCGGGTCGAACGGCGGGTATGGCGGGCCGTCGTCGTTCGCCCTCAAGGTTAGGCCTGCCTCGAGGTCGACGTCGCAGGCCGGTACCCACACGACCGCCGAAGACGAGATCGAGCGGCTCCGCGCCGAGCTGGAAGACCGCGACCGTCAACTTAGAGAACAGGCCCAGACGCTGGCCGAGATGGAAGCCAGTCTTAACGAGCTGCAAGGCATCATCGAGAACTCGGAGGGCCCTCCGGTCCAGCAGCGTCGCAACAGCCTCGACGACAAGGACGTCAGCCAGCTGAAAGCGCTGATTCGCGAGAAGAACGACAAGATCGCCATGCTGACGGCCGAATTCGACGCGCATCGTGCCGACTTCCGCAGCACGATTGACACGCTCGAGATGGCCAGCGCCGAGACGGAGCGTGTCTACGAGAAGCGGATCGAGGAGCTGATGGAAGAGATCCGCGAACTCCAGGAGAGGACCGCGGATGTGGATACCGTCGCGGCGCAGCTCAAGCAGTTGGAGGAGTTGGTCCAGGAGCTGGAGGAGGGTCTGGAGGACGCCCGGCGCGGCGAGGCCGAGGCCCGTGGTGAGGTCGAGTTCCTCCGGGGTGAGGTTGAGCGAACGCGCGCCGAGCTCCGGCGAGAGCGCGAGAAAGCTTCCGTCGCCGGCAACGGGTCCGTGTCCAAGGAGCTGGAGCAGAAAGAGGATGAGATCAGGGGCCTCAAAGCCATCATCCACTCTCTCAGTCGCGACTCGGTGCCGGGCGGGGAAGGGGCTGATCGCGCGCTGGCGCAGAATGCGGCTGGCCAGAGCGCGTCGATCGATGATCGCCTTGCGAGGGAGAGGCTGGAACGGGAGGTTGCTGAGCTGCGCGCGCTTCTGGAGAGTAAGACTGCCCGCGAGGAGGAGCTCGAACGCGAGCTGGAGCAGCTGCGGCGTGGTCAGGCCGCAAGGCATGAGCGTGACCGCTCCTCGATCCGTGACTCCCGTGCTACGGTCGTTGGGCCCTCCTCCTCATCCCAGGAGGGCGGCACCAGTGCCCAGGCCGCAGGCCGCGCGGGTAGCAAGGCCAACGCCAACGGCGGGCTTGACACCCTCGAGAGCGACACCTACAGCACTGCCACCGATCATAGCACGCTCTGGTGCGAGATCTGCGAGACCTCCGGCCACGACATCCTCTCTTGCACGAACGTTTTTGGCGACAAGGGCCCGCAGCGCGCGGCGCTGGACAAGCAGGATGCTACCTCCTTCTCCAGCAATAGGGATACGCTTACCTTGCCGGTCCGTACCCGTGGCGGAGCGTCCAGCACGGCGGGCGACTCGGACACGCTCGGGATCGAGGATGATCCCTCTGCTAAGCCTGCCCCGCTGTCCCCCATGCGTCCGGCTGCGGCTAAGCCGGCCTCATCCACGGCCGGAAGCTCCAGTGCCGCGGGCACCGGGCTCAGGCAGCTGCCCAACCCTCATGACAATGGGCCCGTGGCGGGCAAGGAGTCGGGGGTTGTGGATGCGAGCAAGTGGTGCGCTCTGTGTGAGCGTGATGGGCATGACAGTGTGGACTGCCCGTTTGAGGACGCCTTTTGAGGAAGGAGGTGTGGCTTGAATGTTGGGCAGGATGGTGCGAGGGAGAGAGTTGGGGATGGGAAGGTTTCGCTCTTGAGGAGGGCTAGGGCGGTGGACATACGGCGGGGGAATGGGGCTGGAAATGGGGAGGAGAAGAAGAAGGAGAAGGGGAAGATGTGCCCCCGGTGTGGTCGTGTCCATGGATGTCGGCATCACCGCATGCGCGCTCAGCAGCTTCGACACCTCCAACGGGAAGAGTCCGAAAAACAGCTCATGTACCTCCCCAAACCCCCCCGACTGTTACCCCCTCTTCTGCCTACTCTTCCTCCTCTACGTACCCCGTTCGTCGGCCGTTACGGATGGTGAGGCGCCCCTCATACCCATTCCAACATACCCACATGAGGAGCTCTTCGGAGGGAGGACAACAACAACAACAACAACAACATCAACATCAACATCAACATGAAAAACAACAACAAGAGAATCAGAGACGTCATGGTAATGGTCATGGAAGCAAGTTTGCCACGCTCTGGCGGTAGGACGTCTGCTGTCTGGGCTGTGTCTGGGGAATGTGCTTTGGCGGGTTGCAGGTTGCCGTTGGGAGGAAGAGGAGAGGGGCTGTGAGCAAAGAGGATGATGAAGGAAGTGGGGAGAGGGTGAGGAGTGTGTCGGATGGGGTTGTTGGGATGTTGAAGAGTTGATGTGTGTGGGATGTTTATGGTGAAGTCGTTGAGGAAGTGTGGTTGATATCCAGTTGTGTGTAGTTATGGTATGGGAGAAAGGAAAGAAGGGAAACGGCAAGAAAAAAAAAATAACCTCCTGTTTTATTTGGTAGTAGTATTGCTAGGACTGTTGTAATTGCTAGGATCAGTTTCTTTCTTTGTTTCGTTCGGCGTGTATTCAGTTTTAGTCTGTTTCTAGAGCTGCTTTTCCGAAAGAAGGGGATGACAGCGAAGGGGGCGTGAATGCTTGGTGATGATTGGGGAGGAATAGAGTACTACCGAGGTATATACGTAGGGGTAGTATTGTTCCTATACACATAAATAATGGATGGAGGAGAGTTATGAAGCAAGGAAGGGTACGGTTCTACTCCGTAATACCCAACCTACCTACCTAGACAAACTAAGTACAAGTAATTGATCAAAGACTATGGATATCGAATAATCACCTGTATCATGTGATTCTTGGTTGTTAATGTTGATATCCAACGTCACCACAGCGACATCCTGTTCCTTTTCATTCCACCGTTCGAAGGTTAGGCTTCACTATGCCCAGCGTTCCCAGCGGCAACGTCGCACCAAACGGCCGCCCCACTTCTCACGCTGATTCAGCCCCTGTCAGTGGTCGAGATGAAGACAGGGGGTACCTTTTCTTGGCGGCTTCATGGGGAGGCTGAGCCAGCGGGCATGGCCACAATTCTGAAGCCCTTCATCCACCTCACTACATCAGCTCGCCGTTCGGACAGATTGCTTCTTGAGAGGCTTGCAAAATTTTTTTTCTTTTTCCTTTCTTCTTCTTGGCTTCCCGCGATTGTTCTCGGGATATCTCGAGCTGAGTTTTGATTTGTGCTCTGTGCGCTACTTTCGAGGACCTCAAAGGTGTTTGGGTTTGGATTAAACTGAGATCTGGACGGTTGTGCTACGACAGTCACCAGTCGCCGGCCCGAAGACGGACAATTGATTATCGATCGATGCGCTTCGCGCCAGAACATCATCGATATCGAACGCATTAATCGAAAACAAAGCAACCTAGCAGCCGCGACCATGGCCCAAGTCGTTCTCGATCTGCTCTCCTCCCTGAGCGGCTGCCTCAGCTGTTTCCCCAGCTCGCCCACACTCAAGGTGAACAGTCGTAGTCTGAAGATTCTCCGGCTGTTGGGCGAGGTATGTCCCTACCCTTTACCATCTACACATACGCCCCACACACACAACGAATCAAGCAAACAATTAACATGTGCTTGCCAGGGCGGCTTCTCCTACGTCTACCTAGTCCAAGACACCTCTTCCTCTGAGCTCTTCGCCCTCAAGAAAATCCGCTGTCCCTTCGGCGCCGAGTCCGTCGCGCAAGCCATGCGCGAGGTCGAAGCCTACAAGCTCTTCGCCCACAGCAAGGGCATCATCCACGCAGTCGACTACGCCATCGCCACGGAGCGGGGCGGCGGCGAGGAGAGCAAGACTGTTTATGTTTTGCTGCCGTACTACAGGAGGGGCAACTTGCAGGACATGATTAACGCAAATCTGGTCAACCACACGCGGTTCCCTGAGAAGAGGCTGATGTGCTTGTTTCTGGGGGTGTGTAAGGCGCTGAGAGATATGCATCAGTATCGGGGTCCGGGACTGGGGGGCCAGGGGGCGACGGGCGGGCAAGCTGAGAGGATGGAGGTACCTAGCAGGGGGAAGGGGAAGGGGAAGGGGAAGGGCAAGGGCGGGCAGAGTGCTGGACGGGAGGATGAGGAGGAGGACGAGAATGAGCAGCAGAAGCCGCTAATGACGGAGGATGAGAGGATGCCGGCTCCGGCGCCCGGGCAGGTCAGGAGTTATGCACATCGGGATATCAAGCCTGGTAGGTCTTCGACTGCCCAAACATACGCCGCCAAGACTGGCTAACACGCACTCCAGCAAACATCATGATATCTGACTCCGGCACCGACCCAATAATCATGGACCTGGGCTCGATCGCCGAGTCCCCGCTCCCCATCACCTCTCGCTCGCTAGCCATCGCCACCCAAGATATTGCCGCCGAACACAGCACCATGCCCTACCGCGCCCCCGAGCTCTTTGACGTCAAAACCGGCTCCGTCATCGACACCAAAGTCGACATCTGGTCCCTCGGCTGCACGCTGTACGCCTGTCTGGTGGGCAAATCCCCGTTCGAAATGCGCAGCGACGAGACGGGCGGGAGTCTGTCCATGTGTGTGATGAGTGGGGATTGGCGATTTCCGGATGAGGGGCCGGGAGCGGCGGGGGGTAAGGGGAAGGGGAAGCAGATTGGGGGCGGGCAGGGCCAGGGGGCGAACGGGAGGGCAGAGGAGTATAGGATTAGCGAGCCTATTCGGGAGGTGGTTAGGAGGTGTTTGAGGGTCGAGCCGAGTGAACGACCGGACATTGATGAGCTGATTGAGATGGTTGAGAAGGTGGTGGAGGAGTTGCCGGATGACGAGGAGTAGGGGGGTGGGGGGAGAGGGGGGGGGGAGTTATGTTAGTAGGATGGTAGATTTCTAATGGGAGGGCAGGGTTATGGACGGCGTTTGGCGTTGGGGTGTCGATTTTTTTACTTGGGTAAGTCAGGGATAGGGCGGCCATTCGTGGTGATATATATATATATATATATATCCCTTCGGTTAAGATTCAATATAATTGAAATGGGACTGATTGATTTAAGTTGAGACGTGGCATTACGCCAATACCACTAAATCACCATGTTGTATATCCCATGGGTATACTCCATTGCATGCAACCTCCATCCTCCATCCTTCTTCTATTATTCAGCTTTGCCCCCTTCCTCAGCCCTCGCAACAGCCTCATCCGCCCTCTGTACACACTCCTCCAAAACTTCCCAAAACAGCGCCACATCCAGTCTCCTCGGAATTCTCACCCCCGGCGTACCCGGAGGCAACTTCTTCGCTACAATCTGCCCCGTCCTGGCTCCCCTCAAAAGCGCATCCTCGTACGACCCCTCCGTGACCACGCTCACCTCATATCTCTCCGGCTGCGCCAGCCCCGGTTCTGTGATAGAGGGATCGTGCTCGATAAACGGGATCTCGTGCTCCTTCAGGTGGGGGTGTGTCTCGCTTAGTCCGGTGAGGACCGCAGCCACGGCGAGAGGGTCGTGGAGTGGGGGGCCTTCGGTGATGGAGAAGACTTCGGCGTAAGTTTTTGCGAAGAAGAGGAGGAGTTCGACGAGCATTGTGCGCAGGGGGGTTTTGCCTTGGAGTCTGGCCCCCTCGGGGCTTGGGGTGGGCGTTGTTGGGGAAGGGGAGCCGCCCATCGGATGGCGTTTCTCGACGCCTTCACGACCGTATAACAACAGATCCCGGACGGTCGAGGTCGTCAGAACGAGATGTGACACATCCAGGGGTATGAGCGTCGTCTTGGCAGCTAGTTCCTTGTTTCCAAAGATAAAGGCGGCCGCCTCCGGGTCGGCAAGGACGTTAAACTCGGCGTACTGCGTCCAGTTCCCCGCCCTGGGAACCCCATCTACGACGCCCAGCACTGCGTCCGTAAAACCCCCTCCCAACGCGCCGCCCATAAGGGACAACCCCCTGATATGCCCAATTAAATCGGGGTACGTCATAAACAGCTTTGCGATGTTGGTAAACGCCCCTGTGGCGACTACCCACGCGGTGCCGGGCTTGCAGGCCTTGAGGGCTGCATAGGCGGCGTCGATAGCAGGCGGGGAGGTACGTGCTGAGACCTTGGGTTTGGGCAAAAGAGAGGTGCCGTCGAGGCCGGAGTCGCCGTGGATGTCGGTTGGTGCGGGGAGCGGGGGACGGGTGAGGGCGTGCGGGGAGCCGATGTAGACGGGGATGGAATCGGCTTTATGGATGGCGGTTAAGATGGAGAGGGCGTTGTTTGTGGTTTTTCTTTGAGGGAGGAGGGGTGGTGGTTGGTTAGTTAGAGGTAGGTTTGGATAGAGAGGTATGGGTAAGTGTAGGGGGAAGGGAATGGGTATGGGAATGGGTATGGGAATGGGTATGGGTATGGGTATGGGCATGGGTATGAAGAGGGGATGAGAGGTGAGAAGGCTTACTCCAGAGAAGCATTTCCAAACACGGTCGAAACGCCGAGGATGCGGATGGCTGGGTGATAGGCGGCTAAGAGGATGGCGAAGGTGTCCTGGGAGAGGAGGGGGGGAAGGGAATGAGTTAGCACAAGAGTTCAAGGTAAGATTGAAAATGACATAGATGGTGATGGTTATCAGCTTTGAATATTCCTGATGGTAACCCCTTCCCATTGCCAACGAGAGACCGGAAGCCAGCATCCCAACAAATCACCACCAGCTAAGAGCCGAAGGGGACATATAAAATTATGTTTTTGAAGAAATAAAACCGTTATCCGTTACTTACATCATGACCTGGGTCACAGTCCAGCCAGACCGGAATTCTCTGGTCTTCTTCCACAGTGCCCATGGTGATTCAGTATTCGATGAGGGGTGAATGGTGAATGAATGAGAGCGGTGAGTCGATGAGGGGGGTAGCTACGGCTTGATAGCAACCGCGTGGATCGTAGTGATGCAAAATGAACCCTTCCCGGCTCAAAATCGCAGCTGGAACGAGCAAGCTCAAAATAACCGTCTCGATGATGAGCTGGGTGAGTGAGATGGTTGGGGATCGACAGCTCACATGAAACAGGAGGGCCACTTTTATACGCCCCTTCCAGCTGCTGAGGGCCCTGAGAGCGGGGGAGCCGTTGGAGCCGTTGGAGCCGCTGGAGCCGCTGGAGCCGCTGGAGCCGTTGGATCCAGAGCGTCGGCGCAGCTCCACACTAAACCGCCATCTATAGAGCACCAGCTTGCATGGGATGAATGGCCACCCTTTGGCAGCTGATCTTGTTTAGTCACAAAAAGACACGAGGTTTTGTTGCGCTTGATGGGACATTACTCATTCATATATTCTTTGCTTAGATGCTAGTTTCCGTCTAACCGGATGCCTTCCTCTGCTGAATCACCTTCATGACATCCTCAAACTTATTCTTATCCATCTTCTTCTTGCCCCTCTTCCTCTTCCCTTTCTTCCCTCCCCCTCCAGCCCCATCATCGTCATCATCATCATCTTCATCCCACGCAGATAACTTGACGTGGCCCTCCTCCATATCGGCATCGTCCTCCAGCCGACTCGAACCAAAACCCAGGTCCAAGTCCTCGTCGTCGCGATGCAGCTCCTCCAACTTCTTGCGCAGGCGCTCCTCTCTCTCGGCCGCCTTGCGCTCTTCCTCTTTCTTTTCGAGAAGACCAGCCGCTTTGGCTTTGCGCAGGGCCGCCAGGAAGGCGGGGTCGTCGAGTGATGGCGCTTTGTATTCTTCTCGAGAAAGGAGCTCCGACTTGGAGTCTTTGAAGTAATTCCGTGGGGGGGGAGGGGCTTTGGGTTCTTCCGAAGCTTCCTTCTTTTCCGTCTCTTTGGGCTCTTTGCGTTTCTTCTCTTCCTTGTCTTCTCCAGATTCGTCACCCGAGCCCTCTAACTCTGCCAATGGATCGTAATCCGACCCAACGTCGTCAAATATGTTAATCTCCCCATCTTCCTCCTCCTCCTTTTTCTCCTCCTGCTGCCTTCGATAGTACTCCGGCACCTCCATACCGAGCACCTTGCCCGAGGCCAGGGCTTCCCTCTCCTTCTCCCTCTCTAGGCGCGTACGCTCATCCTCCTCCCGCTCCTCCTGGGTATCCAGCTTCCGTACTTTTCGCCTCTCATGGCCATCCTCGTCAATGATAATCAACACCTCCCGCCCCTTGCTGTCGCGCTCTATCCTTGTCCCTGGTGTTTTCTGCTCGCCAATCTTCTTGAACCGTGACCCAAGACTAGATTGTTGTTTCGCCTTGGCGGCCTCCCGCTGCGCCTTGAACTCAGCCAGGATCTGGTTACGCGTTCGCTTTTGGCCAGGCACGAGACCCGTCGTGGCGAATTGTCCCTTCTTCTGTGTCTTCTCCCTGGTAATGGCCTTCACCTCGGTCGACTCGAGCTGCTCCAGGATCGCGTCGGCATCATCCTCGGGCTGTTCTTCTTCCTGCCCCCCCTCCTTCTCCTCCTTCCCCTTATCCTTGTTACCCCCCCAAACATCCTCCCCCCTCCGTATTCTCTCCAACAACTTATAATCCAACCCCTTCACCAACCCCGTCGTCTCCAAATCCCCGCCTGCAATCTCCACCTGCAACTTCTCGTACGTCTCCCTGTCGATCTCCCCCTTCTTGTACGACTCCTCTAGCGCCCTGATCCGTCGCACCCGCTCGTCCTCTTCTTCCTGTCTCTGCTTAGCGCGGTCGACGTAGCCTGGGGCAAATTTTACCCCCTTTGGCGCGCTGGCTTTGAATTTCATCTGTTGTTTTTGTGTTTGTTGCTCGAAGGCTTGGTTGCGCTCGGCAAGCTGTTTGGCGAAGTCGATGCGCGCGGATGCGGTGCTGCCGGGTCGCGGGGTCATGGGGATGCTAGGCCGGAGTTTCGAACCTAGCGCTAGGGGGCGTGCGGTTGATGATGATGGGGTTGAGGAGGTGCCATCTTTGCTAGATGACGAAGAATTGGAGCTCTTGGAGAGCAGGAGTTGGCGGAATTGTTCGTTGTTCATAGTGAGAGTGGTTGGGGGTGATGCAGGACAGCCTGCGAAACAACAGAAGAAGGGAACGACAAAAGCAAAAGCTCGAGCGCCAAGCAGGAGATCTGCAGGACAGTGGGGCCGTGGGTCTGGCACCCTTTTGGCCTGCCTGCGGCAACGTTTGACGTGGGTTCCATGTCATGTGACCTCGCGCTTTGAGGTGGGGTCACGGATTCTCCGACGCGTCCTCGTCACGCGTCTTACGGCTTCGGCATTACCTAATCTGTCGCCACCTCGGGTGGTGATGCCTACGATGCAAGGCAGCTGTTGAGAGCTAAGCATGCAATAAATGTGTCAACTCCTAAATTAATTTCATCCAGTTTCAATGAGATGATTTTCCGCGTCAAGCCTGCAATGGAACTTGACTCCTCCCCCCCCCCTTCTCCCTTTTCCCCCCAAATAACACCACTCCCCTGAGATAGACGACAGCCTTCTCCTTCATGAAACCCAACTCCCAATAATCCCTTGATCCTAAACAAAATGGGCAACCGCCTAGAGAAGAATTCGGCGGCCGTGAGAAAGGCTATCGAGAGCCGCCGTTTCACTGACGAGGATGGCGAGGAGTACGAAGCCAACAAGTTTGGCGGCTTCGCCGACTACTTCCGCCGCAAGCAGGAGAAGCTACAGAACCTCGACTCCGAGCTGCGCGCTGCAGCCAAGGACAAGCCCCAGATCTTTAAGGGCGTTGTCGCCCATGTTACAGGGTATACACAGCCGCCTCTGCATGTGTAAGCCTGCCTTTCTCATCTCCTGGGAGTTTCAGTAATGGTTGATGCTAACTTGCTCAGCCTGCACAAAGAACTCGTTCAACACGGCGCCGGCTTCCTGCAATATCTCGGCGGCAAGACCATGGCAACGCACATCATCGCGTCGACCATGCCCCCTACCAAGGCCATCGACTACTCCAAGTACCGCGTGGTCAAGCCGGCCTGGGTTATGGACTCCATCAAGGCCGGCCGTATGCTGCCCTGGCAGGACTACCGCGTCATCACCGAGGGCCCCAAGCAAAAGACCATCGCCTTTGGCAGCGGAAAGCTGGTCAGTAAGGCCACGCCGCAGAAGCAGGCGAGTTATCGGGAGCAGAGCGATAATAGTTTTTATACAAGCCAGTTCAAGAATGCGCAGTCGCAGGTGGGAGGGAATCCGTTTCGGGGGCCGCCTCAGAAGTCAGCGTATGCGCCGGCGGATTTTGAGATTGAGGATATTGAGAAGTGGGATGATATAAATTTTGGTTCTCATGAGAAGGTCCGGACGCAGGGAAAGACGATTACTGAGCCCCTGCTGTCGAAGCATGGACAGCCGTCACCTGCGGTATCACCTTCTAAACCGTCGTCATCGGCTCAAAGACAGTCGTCACCTGCAATACCAGCTTTCAAGCCCCCGTCCTCTGCTAAGAAACCACCGATAGAGCCCACGACGGTTTCCCTCGAGCCACCGCCGTCTGCTCAGCGTCCAACCTCCCTACCCCCTACATCCGCCCAACGACCCCCTCTCCTCCCCAAACCAGCCCCTGAACCCCCTCTGCCCGCCCAAAAACCCACGCCCCATCTCCTAGCGCCTCCAACCAAGCCAATGACCGCCGAGGAGCACAACGCGCTCCTCCTCGCCGACCCCAAGATCCGCAAATCCTCCGCCGCCAACCCCAACTTCCTCAAGCAATACTACTCCGAATCCCGCCTGCACCACCTCTCGACCTGGAAAGCCCAGCTCAAGTCTCGCCTGCAAGCCCTCGCCGCGTCCAAAGCCCTCCCCACAGCCTCCAAGAAAAAGCGTCCCTCGGGAGCGAGGAGGTATATCCTGCATGTGGATTTTGATAGTTTCTTCTGCGCAGTTTCGTCCTTGAAGTTGCCAGAAGAAGAGAGGGGGAAGCCCGCGGCCGTGGCGCACGGCACTGGACCCGGGTCGGAGATCGCCTCGTGTAATTACCCCGCTAGGGTGTATGGCGTCAGGAATGGGATGTGGATGGCTCGGGCGATGGAGCTGTGTCCGACACTACGAATACTGCCGTACGATTTTACCGCGTATGAGGACGCCAGTGGGAAGTTCTACGAAGCGATCCTGTCCATTGGGGGGGTCGTGCAGGCGGTGAGCATCGACGAGGCTCTGGTGGACGTGACGGATATCGTGATGGAGAGGACAGGGTCAGAGGGGATAGGTGTGAGCGAGGGGAGTGTATGGCGGGAGCAGAAAGAGGTGGATCAGATTGCCCTCGGCCTGAGGGAGGAGATTAAGAGAAAGACAGGCTGTAATGTGTCGGTGGGGATAGGCGGCAACATCCTGCTGGCGAAGATTGCGTTGCGTAAAGCGAAGCCTGCGGGACAGTACCATCTCCGGCCGGAGGAGGTGCTGGAGTTTATTGGGGAGCTGAAGGTTGAGGATTTACCTGGGGTAGCGTACAGCATTGGGGGCAAGCTGGAGGAGATGGGGATCAAGTATGTCAAGGATTTGCGGGGGGTGTCGAAGGAGAAGTTGGCATCCGTGCTTGGGCCTAAGACTGGTGAGAAACTGTATGAGTATGCGCGGGGGATAGATCGGACTGAGGTTGGCGACCAGCCGATGAGGAAATCTGTCTCGGCGGATGTCAACTGGGGGATAAGGTTTGTGAGTCAGGAGGAGGCAGAGGAGTTTGTGCGCAACCTCTGCAAGGAGCTGGAGCGTCGACTCCTCAATGAGGGCGTCAAAGGGAGACACTTGACGATGAGGATCATGCGGCGCTCGCCGGATGCGCCGCTCGAACCGGCCAAACACCTAGGGCATGGGAAGTGTGATGTTTTCACGAAGAGTGTCGCGTTCGGGGTGCCGACGAATGATCCTGAGTTGATCGGGAAGGAGGCTGTTACTATCTTAAGGTCGTTCAGGTTCAGTCCGGGGGATTTGAGGGGTATTGGGTTGCAGATGACGAAGTTGGAGCCGATCAAGCCGTCGGGGAAGCCGGAGGGGAGTCAGAAAAAGCTGACCTTTGCGGTGCCTGTTAAAAGACAAATGGAGCAGGCTGTTGAGGAGAGCAACGCGCAGACGGCTAAACAGGAGCCAGTGAAGCCGGTAGGCAAGCAGGAAGAGGCTCAGAATAAGGTGACTTTTGCTCCGCCCCCAGCCAAGAAGCAGAAGACAGCAGCTACAGAAGCTATTGAGGAGAGCGATCTACAAACGTACAGGCCGAGACCATCAGAGGGCCCCGAGATCGAAGACGATCCGATCACAGACGAGCCTCTGACTCCTCCTAAGCCGAAGGTCCATCCAGCGCTGGCGTTGGCAAAGGCGGGAGAAGCCGACGAGAAAGCCATCTCCCCGCTCAACATCGCCGGTACACAGTTCATCATCCCCTCAAACCCCGATCCAGCCATCCTGGCCGAGCTCCCGCAAGACATCCGCAGTCGACTAGTCCATCCCCAACAAGCTCGACGAACCCCTCCAGCCCCAGCCCAACCAGAACCGGCCTCTCAACCGCATCCCCCAGACCTACCCCCCGACGTCGACCCCGAAGTCTTCGCCGCCCTTCCCGACGACGTCAAAGCCGAAGTCCTAGCCGAATACCGGGTCCAACGCCCCCAACAACAACGCAGTCCCCCGCGCCACGGCAAAGGCGGTCTCAAGCAACAAACCCTGCTCCCCCAATCCCCTCACAAAAACCGCGTCATCTTCAAGCCGCCTGTACCCCGTACATCCACCAAACGTGGCAGCGGTGGCCGCGGCCGCGGGGGATTATTCAGCCACGCCTCCCGCGCCCACGAGCGCAAAAAAGACCGCGAAGCCGGCCTGCGCCAAACAAGATTCGTAGCCATCCCCCGCCGACTGATCGAGCAATACCATGGGAAAGATCCTAACGAGGAAGATGACGAGCCAGATATCCCCGAACTTGATCCCAACACCCTTGCCGAGCTGCCCACTCAGATCAGGACGAAGGTCGTCGCCGAGCATCGAGCCGCCAAGGAGAGACAGCGGCAAAGGCGACTGGAGCGAAATGGCGCCGTGCTGACGTTTTATGCGCCCACGCCGCCCATGGGGGTGGAGTTGAGGAGGGAGCTGGATAAGAGGTGGGAGAATCGGTTAAGGGGGGTGAAGTTTCCGCCACTACCTACCCACGCAAAACTTGCTTCCAAGGAAATCAAGACATTGGAAGAGGTGAGGGAGATGGTGAGTACGTGGTATGAAGAAAGTAGAGAGGAGGGCGGGCCGCACCCGGAAGACGTGGAGTGTTTTGCAGAGTGGCTGGCGCAGGTTGTGAAGGGGGAGAGGAATATTGAGAAGGCGGGGAAGGTGCTGCGATGGTTGGAGTGGATTGTTTCGGAGGGGGAGCCTGACGGACAAGAGGGAGAAGGTGATGAGGGGCAGAAGGAATGGAGATAGGCGCTGGAGATCGTGAGGATTAGGGTGAATCAGGCGATGGAAGAGAGGGGATTGGGGAAGTTAAAAATTCATTAGCGTTTGTCGGTAGACATGAGGTTATGTAGGTATGGTTTCTAGGAGCTGTGCTTACGGACAGCAGAATAATAATATGTTGGGAAGAGGCTGGGCAGGTTGATGGCGCTTGAATGAGCTTGAGATAACACGTACCACGCGCACTGCGAAGAATATGACTACGTAAGTGCATATAGAGTAAAGAAACAGTTTTCCATGAAATATAAAATATACATTATTGTTTAGCAGTGAAGCAGAATGGTAAGTGTTCAAACGGCTGCTAAGAAGGAAGAGATCAAACAAAGTCGCCATCTAATTCCAACCAAAACCCCCCCCCAACACCCTCCTTCCCCTCCCCCCCCCAAAAAGACCAACATCCGATTCAAGTCGAAAATATGTTTTTTGTTTTTAAAAGAGAATTGAGATCATTGTCATGACAGCTGCCAATCCAGCAGCGGATAGACTTGCGAGACTCTTCATCGTACCAGCTTTGTAGACCTACAGCCTATGTCAGCATATTCGGGATACTGACGACAGAACACGACTGTAAATGGGGAAAACTCACAGTCAACTTCAGATTCCCACCACAAATCTGCGTGGCATTGCCGTCGCACGGCAAGTTACACGCATCATCCGGAAACTTCTCCGACAAGCCCGACAGCGACCGGGCACACCAGCATTCCCTATATGTAGGGATGACACAAACAGTCTCAGGTTAGCCCACTCCCCCACACGCTCATTCATTCATTCACTCTCTCATCCAATCACTTATCCATCCGTCCATTTCTAACTCCCTCCCCAACCCAACCGTAACCGCAACCAAAAAAAAAAGAAAGAAAAAGAAAAAAAACAAACTATCCAGGTCCCTACTTACCGTGAATACTCCAACCCCACGTACTCAAACATCGCCGTATTCCCGCCTTTACTATCCCCCGCACCGGTGCTACAAAATTCGAGACACATATTGACCGTCATCTCACCGGGCTTCACCACATTCTTCCCTCCGTTTAGGGCGCGCAGGCCAGCGGTGTCAGGTAAGTCCGTCGTTTCGTTGTAGCATCCCAGGTAGGTGTATCCGGATTTCGATGGAGGGATGTAGATTGATGGTTTTTGTTGTTGGGCGAGGGTGAGGATCGGGGTGAGAAGGAGGATGAAGAAGAGAAAGGGGGTTAGGAAGGAGTGCATTTTTCGCGACGGCCACGAGTAAGCGGTAGATCTGGGGATGAGGGCGATGGCAGTTAATCAGCTGAAGTAAAACAAGGCTCTGTTGATTGAGAATAATAGCTAATGTTGAGATTAACTCAACCCGACTCGACTCGACGCGTAATAAGCTCACCCTCGTTGAACGATCCACGAATGGAAGGACTAGAGATGAGATGAACCAACATTCAGCTGTGACGCCCACTGTACGCATAGGGCTGAGCCAATCACACCGTCCCCATCGATAAACAAAGCACGAACGCCAAGCTTCAGCACTAACCTAGATAAGGAATAGCCATTTCACCCCCTGCAGCCACGGAACTTTCCGCCCGAGCTGCCGAAGTGGGGCATCCCACGCTGTTGGGTCAACCAAAGAAGGCAACAAACCATCTCTAGATCGATCGACCGGCCGATATTTGTCTCACGTCACGATGTCAAATGTTACAGACCTCAAAAGTGAGAAAAATACAACGCTGTTTGCCCAAGAGCTTTTTAGTTACCCTAATAGCCAAACTAGCCAAAGAGGTTCGCTAGCCACGTAAAGCCAACGACCAACCTCACCTAAACCCCGAGCATCTCCAAAACCTCCGCCACAGTGTTCCAGATCAATGGTTGCCAACCGACCTAACCCAGCCTCACCAAACACCCTGACACCCAGCGACAAGGGAAAGCCCGAAAACCAAGCAAGAGCACCCAGTGAAAAAAAAAAAAAAAACTTAGAGACTTAGAACCTCCATGAACTCGCTTCAAGGTCCCTCAACTGTTCGATTAGTTGGAGCACCTACTCCTGCTGAACGCAAGAGGGACAAAAGCCACTGATCGAGCGTTAGCATTGCTCCGAGAGGTCACTGCTTCTTCAGGAAGTAAGTACTCACCACTCCACGATATCTTTGCTCTCAAATTTCTCCTCAAGAGCCGAACAAGCCCACTCAAGGTGCCTATTTCCCACCCCCCCCCCGGGCGGGCCCAAATCAGCACTTCATCTTCATCATCATCTTACTCAGCTTGGTTGACTTACATCAGAACCATCATCCTCCAATTAGCCTTGTCCTTACGGTTCCCATCAACAATCATCTCCTGCCCCTCAACAATCAACGCCTTCAGACCCTCAACTTCCTCCATAAACCGCTGAGGCATAGACGCCATCCACTTACTCTTGGCGCGGTCATCCACCATCGGCAGAACTGCCTCGATGAGACCGGCGTCAATTTGAACAAGTTCGTCGTCGATGTCCTCTTCGGTCATGAGCAGAGTGATACCGGCCTCAATGTCCTTACGTGACTGCTGATCCTCCAAGTCCAGGTCGACGCTATGAACCGGAGTGCCGGGAGGAGCAGGGGGGACCGGACCCTGAGAGCCGAGCGAGGAGAACGAGCCGTCCGAGTTGTGCCCGTCCTGTTCGACGTCGCTGAAGACGATGTCGATCACTTCATCGTCGTCAGGGGTCTCAGGCTGAACAGTGAGATCGCGGTGGTTTCGAGAGGCACGCTCGCGCTTCTTGGTGATCGCACGGAGGATGTCCTTCACAGCCCCCTCACCTGCGCGCTCAACAGCCGCTGCCTCGGAAATAGCCTGGAGTGCGACCTGAGCCGCGTGACACAAAGAAACTGCAGCATAGCAGCCGGGGCAGAAGTTGTTGAGGGCAGTATCCTGCCACAGCTGGACCTTGTTGAGCTTCACGCCCTCAACAGCCGTAGGACGGACGCGTCCGGCAGCCGACGCCTTCGCAAGCGTATCGATCATATCTGTACGTGCAAAAAGCGGATGCGTGCCGGTACTCGCACTACGCGGGCGACTCGAGATGGTTCTTTCCTCAGCCATCTCGGCCTCCTCGAGATGCAACTCCGGCTGTTTGTCTTCCTCCTTAGTCCTGAACTTTTCCCTCATCGCCTCCCCCCCCCCAGCAGGGCACGACATCGCCCGCAGTCGCCCACCCCTACCGGCCGCCCCGCCGACAGGCTCGTTGACGGGGTTCCCGCACCGGCGACAGTCCTTGGGTCCCATGCCCATTCTCACGGCGTGGGACATCACCAAGGGGTGTCCAGTCTCCACATAATCCCCAACCTTGGCCGTCACGGTATCCTCCAGGGTCTTTGTCGCACTGGTATAAGACCGCTGAAATGGGGTACTGATCGGGAAAGCGAGCTTCTGCTCCTTGAAGTGATGGGTCTCCTTCAGCAGGCCGAACAGGCTGTGGCCCAGCCGTTTGGGCTTTTCCTTTGGGAGGGTGCAGAGCGAAGCAGCCCTGTGACGACGAGCGAGCTGAGTGGCTGTGTCGCTCTGGATGGAGTGTTAGTAGCTTGAGAGGGAGAGGGGGTCCGCGGCGTGGACGTACATGGGTGGGAGACACGGGGCTAAGAACCTTGGCGGGAGGAGTCATGTTTGGGGGTTGGTTGAAGCGAGAGTGGGAGTAGGCGTTGTAGAAGACTAAGAACCAGAGGGGTTGGAGTGATTGAAGCGAGCGTCGAAGCAGAGGGTTGAAGCAGACAAGAGCGTCGGTTGAGGAGACTGAATGTTGGTTTGAAGACTTAGTGATGGTTGAAGGTTGAATGTTGCTTGAAGAAGACTGTGTGCTTTGGAAGCTTACAGGAACCCTTATTCAGCTTGAAGCTCGTCGCAGGGAGGAAAAGCCGTCTCAACCTATGAAATCGAGCGGCTGGTGATTACAACCTAATCATGAGGGGAATGATTCAATCGGAGTTATACCCAATATGCCATATGATGCAGTGATTTTCTAACCAAGCCGGGGGGGGAAAAAAAAGAACGCAAAACTCGAAGGGACGTTTACATCAGAAAACGCGAGAGATCGCGAGGTGCTCGAAATCAACAAATGCTCGTGACTGCCCATGATGAAGTAAGCATGAGACATCTGCTGCGCATTTAGACGAGGAAATCGACATCAAATATTGCTTCTTTCTTGCGTCAGTCCAAGGCTCTTCAGCAGTTTCTTCTCTTTAAACCAAGCTCTTTCCGTTCTGATGTGACCATCATCACAGGGAAATCATACACATGCTCTCATATACCAAACTCCTTCCATCTTGTTGCCGATATTGTTTCCGTCACGGCCACAAGAAAGGAAAAAAAAAAAAAAAACCTCCATGCCAATATCTAAACCAGGATATCCACTCTTTTTATCAAGAATTAAAAAAATAAAATAAATAAAATAAAATAAAATTTCCATCATCATCTTGATAAAACTACACGGCATTTTCCAGCCAGGTATTTTTTATAGGAAAAAAGAAAAATACACACCGGACGTACCTAACAAACACCAAAACTACAGTATCATTACACAAGATCCTTCTTTACCCTCACAATCACATCGACATTCCCCCTTGCTGCCTCGCAGCCCCCCAACTCCCAACCAACGCCATAGCCTCCTCCCCTCCATCCTCGAGCTTCGGCTCGTTCAGCACCGCCGCAAGACACTTCCACGGATCCCTCCCTCCTCCCCACTTAAGCAACGAATTCTTCAGATGCTCACCATTCGCCCTCTCGAGCGCGGCGCCCCCGGCGCCCCCCTTAAACACTACCTCCCAGGTGCGTTGCGCCAGCACGCGATCGAACAAGTAGCTGTAGTACGTGCTTCCGTAGCCCGAGAGGTGCCCGAAGAAGCCCTGCCAGCGCGTGCCGCGCGGGTCGGGTGGGCCGCTGCCGAACTCGCGCTGGAGGTCGTGAAAGATCTGGGTCGAGTCGAAGGCATCGTCACGGGCGCGCCGGGAGTGCAGGGCCTGGTCCAGCATGGCCAGGATGATTTGGTTCTCGGTGTCGGAGCCCTCGAAGAGGCGGGCCTGGCGGATCTTGCGGGAGACGAGGGCGTAGGGGACCGGGTCGTCTGTCTCGTAGTGGCGGGCGAAGACCGAGAGGACGGACGGATCGGCGACGAAGTATTCCATGAGCGTTGACGGCAGCTCTGCGAGGTCGGTCGCGCAGCGAGTGCCGGCCACGTTTTGGAAGGAGGTGCGCGCTAGGATGGAGTGAATGGCGTGGCCCATCTCGTGGAAGAGCGTCTCGACCTGGAAGTAGCTGAGCAGCACGGGCTGGCTGTCGTCGTTGTTTTGCGGGAAGTCGCACACCAGCGCGATGGTCGGCAATTGCTTGACTTTGCCGTCGATCTTGGAGAAGGCCATGCCGTCGTTGGCGGCGAACTCGGGCCGCTGGAAGTAGGGCATGTCGGTCCGCGGCGCCTGGCTCATCTGCTCCTGCCAGACCTCGTCCATCTCTTCGGGCAGGATCTCGCGCGAGCAGCGGAGGGTAAAATGCGCTGGGTTAGGCGACTTGTCGGCGCGGTAGAAGAGATCGCAGTAGAGCACGGCGACGCGACCCTCGGTGTCGTGTACCACGTCGAGCCGCCGCACGTCTGGATGCCAGGTCTCGCCGCGCAGGGGCGGCCGCGGGGCGAAGCGGATGCCGTAGAGGAGGTTAAAGATGCGCGACAGGCCCTGGATGACCGTGCCCAGCGAGAAGAAGGACGACAGCACGTCAGTGCGCGGCACGCGTTCGGACGCCGTGGCCTGCTTGCGCAAGATGGTAGAGTAGTACTCCCTATCCCATGGTTCGAGGGCCTCTGCATCAGGGACGGTCTTTTGCTTCTCCCGGAGCATCGCCCCAAACTCGGCAACTGCTCGGGGCTTGTTGCTGCCGGCCAGGGCGCGCAGGAACTTGTCGACGGCCTCGGGGCTGCGGGCCATCATGCGGTCGCGCAGGGCCATCTGCGCGTAGCTCTCAAAGCCAGATAGCTCGGCTAGCTCGGCACGCAGACGCATGAGCATCTCCAACGTCGACACGGAGCGAGCCGAGGACGTCCGGGAGGCGTAGTAGAGCATCTTGCGCGCCTCCGGGTCGTGGACCGTCCGCAGGGCCAGGGCCGCCTGGGCGCTGAGCGTGGGCACGTAGACCATGCCGTTGCGAGTCAGCGAGCGCACTTGGACCGGGTCCATGCCGCGCATCTTGCTGCTGGGGATGGCCACCCATGCTTGGTCGGGGGTCATCTCATGCACAAAAGCCGTGGCTACCGTGCTGATCTTGGACGACAACTGCACGAAGCGGTCGCGCTCCCACTTGGGCAGGTTAACGGCCGACTTGAGGAAGTCTTGCCTCAGCACCTCGGCAACCGCCTTCTCCTCCTCGGACCAGACCTTGGTGACCTCCGGATTCTTCATGGCCCTGTCCAGCTGCTCATAGAGCCCCGTCATGGTGTTGAGCTCGTTCATGTACTGGTAGACCGTGTCCCAGGCTGCGTTGGCCGCCCGTTGGATTTTGTGGTCCGGATGGGTGACGCGCACAAAGTCAGCCATGTCGAGCACGCGGCACAGGGTATCGCTTAGCCGGTCGAGCTCGCGCACGATCCTGCGGTACTCTGGCACCGTGTAGGCGTTGAGCACCCGGTCCACGATGCGGCGGGCGCGGGCCAGGCTCACGTTTGCGAAGGTCTCGAACCCCTTGGGACTCGTCAGGTAGGCATTCTGGAAGAGCCCGACGTTCATGCCGATCGGCAGGGCCGAGTACTCTTGCCAGAAGGAGGGCTTGTCGAAGATGGTGCGTAGGAGGTTGTCATCCTCCCGATCGTCGGTGGGCGCGACGTAGGCATAGTGACGTGTTTGGCGGCTAGGAAACGGGCTTGCTAGCTGCTTCTGCGACTGCTTCTTGCCTTGGAGCTGTTGTGATCGTTGCACCGAGTGCAGCGAGCGTACCTGGGCAAGCTGGCGCGGCTCACGGGGCTGGAGGACGGCCAGGGCGGCACGCTGGCGTAGACAGCTTGAGCAGACCCATCGTTCCAGCTGCCTTGGCCTGGCCGAAGCTCTGATCATGGTGATATCGCGGTTGGCCCGCGAACGGGATGGCTGGGGAGCTCAAAGAGCTCGATATCGACTACGAGATAGGTTTAGCGGGGGTTGTCGTCGAGGGGGATGGCGAGGGGCTGGACGGAGGATAGATGCGCCGAGGAGCTCGCATCGGGGGCGTCTGGCTTTTCCCCAAAGGTGTTCCTCCTTCTTGTAAGCGCCGGCAGCGCCGATTGCGCCGCTCCAGGTCGGTGTGCGGGGTGTTGAGGCCGGGCTGTTGCGGTGCTGTCGACCCTGGATGCGATCAAAATGTGGACAAGACGAGGTGACCCGCCAAAAAATTCCAGAGCTTCTTAGCGCATGGGCCACTTACTCAGGACTAGCCCCGCATTTATCTCATTGGCTTATCTCAGAACAAGCCTTTTATCGCGATATTATTATTGGTCAGATGAACTCAAGGTAAGAAACTCAATAACTACGAACGGGACAAGCTTAGCACCCGAAAACAGCCGCAGCGAGGGCGAGCTCGGGACGTTGGCGAATCGTGATCCCTGGTCCATCTCGGCCCACGGCAACTTCAAGTTCGCAACTTGGAAACCCGGGCACCCTCTAAGCTTTAGAGCTTTTGCATTGCACAAGATCCCGCTCCCCACGCCACAACTCCAGGGAGCCGCTGCCTCTCGCCTGCTGCAATTGTTTCGGTCAAGCACTTGCGAGGGCCAATACCATCACTACCAAATGGCTGCCAGGGTGCTGCTACAGCGGGTACGAGCTCGAGTCTTTTACTCCCCTTTCCCTCCCCCCCCCTCCCCTCCCTCCCCTCCCCACTATTCACCTCACTGCATCCAGAGACCACGAGACTGACGTTATATCGACAACTATAGCGAGTCGCGCCGCTGGCGGCTGCCGCACTGGTCGGGAGCGTCGCCTTTGCCCCGCGCATCGCCCACGCTGAGGCGCCCAACGACCGCTCTATCGTATGTCCCTGCCCCTCCGAATCCTCCTTTTTGCCAATTTTCTCCCCCCTCCCCCCTTTCCCCCTTTCCCCTTCTCTCTCCCAGCTCAAGCCCGTCCTAACACATGCCAGTCCCGCAAGCCCATCTACGACGACGAAGACTTTGCTCTACCCCCGTCGAAGCCCTCTTCCCCCGCCGCTCTTACCCCCTCCGAGGCCCAAAATGCCTCCGCCGCCCCTGTTTCGTCCTCCGAGCCGGAAACAACCACCACCATCGTCGTGCATCGCCCGCCGACGCCCACCGACCGTCTGGCCGCACAGATCCGCCGCGCCCGTCTCTTCCTCTACGCCCAGTCCTGCGTGGTCGAGGACTCGGTCAACGATTTCATGTCGCGGGCTTTCGCTCTCGAGCAATCCTTTACCTCGACACTCGCCTCGTTGGCCCCGTCCCGCGAATCAGGCGAGAAGCTCATGCCCGGCCTGATCTACGTTCTGGTGTCGGGCATGGCCGGCAGCATTGTCGCGCGGAACAGGGGGGTTCTGCTTCGCGCAACGACGCCGCTTGCTTTTGGGCTGGGCGCGGCGTATTATGTGCTGCCGGTGACGATGCAGAATGTGGGGGGTCTGGTGTGGGAGTATGAGAAAAAGTTCCCTGCGGTGGCGGACGCGCATATCAAAACGAGGGAGGGTATCGAGCATGGTGTGGCGATGGCGAGGATGCATGCAGATATTGCGCAGCAGAAGGTGCATGATGGGGTGAGGAGTGTGAGGGAGGCGCTGGAGGAGTGGGTTAGGAAGGGAAAATAGGTATATATAACTGGTTAGAATCAAGGTTTTTTTTTTAAAAAAAAAAAAAGGGAGGGGCCGGTGGGGGGGGAAGGATTGGGGGAAGGGGGAAAAGAATGCATGAAAGGTAAACTATGATGTATGATTGGGAAGAGCCACTCTAAGGAGCGTATAGGCTCTCCTTGTACCATACTGAGGAGGTCATCTCGGAATATAGACCATTTTTTTTCTTATATTTTTCTCAGCTGAAAACCCTTGTAACCAAAATTACCATTATTACATTCCTTTGAAGCTTATAAATCACGTAATCTATGGGTATCTCTATACATGTCTATGGCTCTCCCTACCACCTCAACTCAAACCGTTCCCAAACTCCCTCATAAAACCGCAACGCCCTCTCATAAGTCCACATCGTCACCGCGCTCGCCGGCGCAGCCTTCACCAAGCTGACCGTCAACCCCCTATACAGACCCCTCATCCCCTCCATTCTCAAAATCGTCCTAAACGTCCCCACCGCACCCCCCTTATACTCCGGAATATTCTTATGCACATACCTGCCCCGCGTAGGCCCCTGTACCTGAATCCTCTTACGCACCAGATCCAACGGGAACGTCACCGTCTTCGCCGCAACACTAGCAATCGTCCCCGCTACGGCTGTCCCACTGCTAAACGGTAGATCTAAAGGCCCCAACACGGGACGTAGGGTCTCGTAGAATGCAAAGAAACACCCCATGTAGGGCACGATTTGGGCAACGCCGGGTCCTAACCCACGAAAAAATCCACGTAGCCCCTCGTCCCGATAGATTTGCCGAATTGCCCGCCTTAGATTAGGATACACCCGATCGTCATTCCCCTGCGCGGCAAACCTCGTCCGTAATAAATCCAACGGGTACGTCACGGCCGTCGCGGCCGCGCCCCCGGTCGCACCACACACGAAACTCTCGGCTGCCTGCGGCAAGGAGTCCTGCTCGAACACTGCCCGCAAAAGCTGGGTCGTGGTGCGGTACGTCGTGAACTGCACGGCGGAGTAGCAGACGTACAGCAGCTCGGCGGGGACGTTGCCTTTCCAGAGGCCGGGGAGACCCTCGTGGCGCACGATATGTTGCATGGTGCGGAGCGTGCCTTTGTAGATGGGGCCCCCGCGGAGTTGGTCGAGGCGGGAGGAGAGAAGCGGGTCGGAGAGGGAGTGCGGCTGGAGCTGCAGGCGAATTTTGACTACGTCTAGGGGGGCGATTACGAAGCTGGGGTTTTTGTTAGGGACGACAACTTAATTAATGGGAGAGGAAGAGGAAGAAGAAGATGATATCGAACATGGTGAAAGAGGGTCAATGTACCGAGAGATGAGGCCGGCTGTTGCGCCGGCCAGGGTTACTTGGAGTCGGGAACCCTCATCCTTGAGGCTGTCGCCTGAGTCTTTCGGAGACATTCATCCAGCGGGGAGAGGGCAAATATTGAGCTTGTTTTGGTGGTTTTGGCTTGTAGGTTGTTAGGCTAGGGCTAGAGCTGGAGATCCAAGTCGGTGACGGGCCGTGTCGCGCGAATTGTTGCGATGCGGATGGGAAATCTCAAAATCGAATATCAAAATCCAGATCCGGGGGTTCAGACTTGCATTGGCTGCAAAGTCGGCCACTGGTCTTCGACTCGGACAAATTGGACTTCGGATGGAAGGTGGACGAAAATCCGATATCAATACTCCAGGTTAGAAGTCCGCGAAAAAAAAAAAAAAGTCGATCGCAATCTTTATCCTCGCATCGTTCGACGTTTCATATCACTTCAGCCGCAGCAAGCCGATTTGTGATGGCTATCTTCTGCGGCGGTGCAGCAAGTGTTCCCCCTCAAAAATTCGATTTTTTGATGAGCGCATTTCGCTTCGAGCGGTGACGACATTGGCGCGCTTGGGGCGGCAGGGGCGCGGCTATTGGCCAATCATAATCGATGCCAAGACACAATGACGATTTCCCAAGCGCTCCTGCTTGCCAAGGCTTGGCAGTCTTGGCGCACAGACAAGGCGCAAATCACATGAACGGCTGATGCAGCGAAGCAGCTGCCGAAATGTGGACAGCGAGTCATCATCGTACAGCCTCATGCTGTAAAGCAAGCTCAGTTCGGCGAGAGAGATAGAACCTCAATAAAGCGCCACACTTCGAAAGATTGACCTTTCCCCTATTGGGAGCTCGGCATCATGACAGCCGACATCGGCCAGAACGCAACCCAAGATCTTTGATCTCGGAAAATCCCCGAGCCCTGCTCTGGTTTGGGCAACTGAACCGTTTGTATCCGTAACACTTGCCATGCCTGGGCTGACACCGATCGCCAATTCCGTTGGTCGCGTCGCCCAGACGTTCAGGCGCCCAGGCCATCTACTTGCCAGCGCAGTCCTCATTGGTTCCATCTGCCCGAGAAGGCAGGCTGGTGGGTCTGTCGAACGGGAACATTGGAGCACCGCTGGAGCATTGGAGTTTTATGCAAGCGCGGGGATGCGGGGCACCCCACAGAGCTCTCTGTAAACCCTTTTCTGGCTTCTCTTAGTCGTCAGCGTTCCACTGTTCCTTTACTGTCCTCCACTGCCGGGCAGTTCAGACCTGCTAGGTAGCACGAGAAGAGCTCCAGCGCTCCCCTTGTCAGCCACGGCACCAGCACGGGACTCGACAAGGCCCAGGTAGAACCGAAGCGGCACGAGGCATTGGAAACGGGCCATTTTGGTTCCCAGCCAACCCCCCTCCCCCTTGCCATGCGGGGATCAGATGCGAGGCTTACTTCCTCGTGATTCTTCTTTTAAGTTGGCCTGCTTTCTCGCTTTTTCGTCGCCTGTGACACTGCTGTTCTCATACCTTCCTCTCATCTTTCCTCTCCGACCCTTTCCCCCCCCCCCCATTCCCCTCCCCTTTTGTCTCCTTCGCCGTCTGTGAACCTGTAGTGCCGCTTTGACTGAGGCAGTGCTGCCTGCTGTTTGTTAACTTACGCCGCGTCTGTCTTACATCGACATTGACACAGGCATATTCCCTACGTTTACCACACACATCATCATCATCATCCTCCCATCACCAACAGCATCTTCACGTGCGGCTCGGCTTGGGTTTCAGAGTATTAAAGCGTCCAAACTCGCTTCGCTTCTTACCCCACACTTCTCACCTTTGCCATACATTCTCCCATCTTTCCGCCAGCCTCAGAGTTCGCCGTTTGCCTATAAATGAGCTTCGACCACTTGGTCCAGCCTCTCCCCATCAAACAAGACGAACTCAAGCTCAAGCGACTAATCGAGCTCTTCGAGTTCCCCCCTATATCCGAAGACAACAACGACAACGAAACCCCTGACCAACCCTCCTCCTCCTCCTCCTCCTCCTCCTACTACTACTACTACAACTTTGCCTGCACTCACTGTCTCGAAGAAGACGACTTCAACAACAATAACAATAATAACAATAACAATAACAATAACGACAACACTAGCATCTACAGCACAACACCCCCCTTGTCAGAAACCTCATTAACCTCGACAACAACAACAACCGACACAATGGCCATTCCTTCTCCGAACCTCCGCGAAACAATCTACCCTGTGCTCGCCTCCCTCCCCCACGCGGCCTCCTCTACCGAACCCCTCGAGGCCTGCTTCCACGTACTTGACCTCCCCGTGCGCAACCGCGTGCGCACCATGTCCTCCTCTTCTCGCGACCCCTGGATCCGCTGGCTCAGCTACGCGGACCTATCCTCCCCGATCCATGCCCGCCTCCGTCGCATCGCCAAGTCCTCGGCCCTCGAGCTGCACCCTGTGAGCGGCGAGATCGAGATCGATTGGGCCTCCCGGGAGAATGTGTTGGTACGGTTCAGGCGGCGCGACGTGGAGACGCTGGAGGCGATGGTCGTGCTGCGCGAGGTGGATGGGTTGTGGCTGAAGCTGGTGTGGGTCGAGGATGATTGGGAGACGGCGGTGCATCGCAACGGGGGGGGACGTGGTTGGCGCGTGAGGGAGGTCGGTGCCGCTAGTGGGGGCGATATCCCCGCGGTGAAAGAGGTCCTGGAGGATTTTGGCGGGTGCGTGAGCATTGCCGAGGCGGAGGAAAAGTTCGCTTCTTCCCCGGCCCCTGCTGCGACTCAGACGAACGGGGCTCATCCTACCATCACCATCCCCATCGTCCAGGGACCCACCTCCGAGACCAAGGTTACCGTTGAGAACCTCGAAGATGCCGCCGAGTCCTCAGACGACGATGCCTACTGGGCGCGGTACGACACCACCCCCGGTTCGCGGACTCCGCTGACGGGTAACGCCCGTCATCGTTCGCCGGCTGCTCCGCGCTCTGTTCCTGTGAACATTGCTAGCGCTTTTGCCGGTACCAACACCACTTCTTCCAGAGAGAAAGAGGAGGAGGAGGAGGAGGAGGATGAGGATGCCTACTTTGCGCAATATGACGATGTCCAGCCTGCGATGGACCACTATGATGCTGAGGAGGAAAAAAGGTTTGCCGAGAGTATCCGGGCTAAGTATTTTGGTTGAGGGATCAAAGTAAAGGGGGTAAAGGGAAGGCATCCAATGTGGGATGGGTTAAGTGTGTGAGAAGATAAGGGTTCGGTTTTGGCCTTTTTTTTTCAGGACGATGTGGGTTTTACCTAGTTGTCATGACTATTTGAGGGCCTGTTAATTTAAGGGTTGTCAGTTTTTTTTGGTTACAGGTTTTTGTTGGACTGGCTGGCGTTCAGGCGTCTTGTAAGGCATATGGGAGAAATAAGGCGGTTTAGCATGCCACCATTCCTCGCAATCACAAAAACAATACAAGGTATTATTGGCTGGATGGAACTTAAAAGCAATGCCTATCACTGGATGGGCATTTAGTGTGATGTTATTCCCTGGTTACATTCTGAGAAAAGAAAAGAAAAGAAAAAAAAAACAGGACTAAAATAGATAGAATATCATCATCGGGCAGCATGTTCACCCAAGCATTATTAGTTACAGTCATTATCACAGTCAATCACAGCTTAGCGCAATTTTGTCACAGTTACAGAAGAGGAACCATCACATCTCGGAGATCACTTGATACCAAACCATTGTTGTTTTTCTCCTTCATTCTCTCTGACCATAAGAGAATAAATATCTCAATTCATTCACTCATTCACTCATTCACTCATTCACTCATTCACTCATTCACTCATTCACTCATTATTAGACCCGTTTGATTTGACTATATTCCTCCTCGCTATGACTATCAGCGATACGTCCCGGTCCTATCCCTCTTGTGTATGTAGGCTATCAGGCAAATGTTTTGAGCCCTCGTGTGTGTATGGATGGATGTATGGATGTCTTAAGCTATATACAGTAGCTTTGAAGACTGAGAGGAATGCTTTAGAGCCGAGCCCCGTGAATAAGAAAAAAAGCAGAGTTGAGTGTCGTTAGTTAAGTGAAGTGTGTTAGGTACATGTTTTTAATGGTTTGCTAGCTGAGTGTTGGGTAAGGCTGGTAAGTATGTGGCTCTATGGTAGTGGGTGGTGTAAGATAGTTCGAGATATCCGAGCCGTTATGTCATCTCAAGTATCAATTATCACTCTCTTGGGTTGAGACATCGAGTAGGAGAGAGAGAGAGAGAGAGAGAGAGGAGGAGGAGGAGGAGGAGGAGGAGGAGGAGGAGGAGAGANA